GGGGACAAGTTAGTTACAATTAACCCAAGGATATATGGACCAGATTTGTTCCCAAGAGCAGATTTTGAGTGAAAATAGAGTTAGTAAGAGACTAACCTAAAAACCTGGTGAGGACTGAGAGAAGGAGGTCAAGGAGGGGAAGAAAAAAGGATAGTGCTGTTGCTGCCCAGGACAAGCTGCATGCTCTTCCCAGCGTTGCTTACAGCTCAGAGCTACTCACACTTACCACACACAAGACCCTCCTGGGGATCTTGTGAAGATGCTGATGTTGGTACAAGAGGCCTAGCATGGGGCTCAATTTCTTCCTTCCTTTCTTCCTTCCTTCCTTTCTTTCCTTCCTTCCTTCCTTTCCTTCCTTCCTTTTCTTTCTTCTTTTTCTTTCTTTCTTTCTTTTTCTTTCTTTCTTTCCTTTCTTTCTTTTTCTTTCTTTCTTTCCTTCCTTCCTTTTCTTTCTCTTTCTTTCTTTCCTTCCTTCCTTCCTTCTTTCTTTCTCTCTTTCCTTCCTTCCTTTCCTCTCTCTTTCTTTCTCTCTTTTCTTTGTTTTCCTTCCTTCCTTCCTTCCTTTCTCTTTCTTTCTTTTCTTTTTCTTTCTCTTTCTCTCTCTATCTCTCTCTTTCTCGACCTCGTGATCCACCCGCCTCGGCCTCCCAAAGTGCTGGGATTACAGGTGTGAGCCACTGAGCCTCAGCCTCCCAAATGCAGAATGCTGGCTTCTGCATTTCTAACAAGTTCCCAGTGCTGCTGATGCCCCTACTCCAAGAACCACATTTGAATATTAAGGGTCTGTGCCCACTCCTGCCAGATATTACTGTGCCTCAGAATTCTTTGCAAAAAGAGTAGAATTCGACTTGTTCTGTTTGCTCTTCTTCCCCCTTCTGCTTTTAAAAATGTAATGTTTTAATGCACAAACATGAAAAAAATCCAAGCACAGACATGTTTGACATCTGTCATCAAACAGAAAGTATAGAAGTTGAGGTTTAGAATTTCACTAGCAGGAGGTTAGTAGGTGTTATGTGTTCATTTTATAAAGACAGCAGGTCATTAATTATAAATGTCACGATCTTATCCCTGGAATAATGGAATCCGTTTCTGAGTAAGAGTCAGTTTGAGATGATCAATAGCAAAGAGACTGAAAGAGGAAGAAAAATGTCTTGTGCTCTCAAAAATACAGTCACGTAAACATTAAATGACTTTTTGTCAAGGGAACACACTCTTCATACTTTTATGATGTGGTTATATAACAGACACTGGCTCATAATAACACACATCAGCTAATCACACAGGAGTAGATAAGTAAGGCAGATTCTCTCTTTGCTTTCCAGGCTCTCCTTCCCCACCCCACAGTTTAACCAGACAAGTTTCACTCTAAATTCTTTTAAAATGCGTGTTAAGAACAAAACAAGGGGCTGGGTGCAGTGGCTCACGTCTGTAATCCCAGCACTTTTGGAGGCTGAGGCGGGCAGATCACCTGAGGTCAGGAGTTCAAGACCAGCCTGGCCAACATGGTGAAACCCCATCTCTACTAAAAAGACAAAGATGCCGTGCGTGGTGGCTCAAGCCTGTAATCCCAGCACTTTGGGAGGCTGAGGCAGGCAGATC